CTGGAAGTGGCCAACATAGTGGACTGGGGGCTGACCTTGACTGAAGTAACGCCATACTTGTGCCCCATTAGGGGTGAAAAGTAAGCCTCCACGTAGCCACTGCCAGGCTGCCATTCCCAAACCCGGACGCGTTTGTCCCTGTATGTTAAAAGAAAGAAGATGATTCTGACTTCTTAATACACAGCGAAAACCCACTACACCGCGGAAATGTGTGTATATCGATAACCGATATTTACCCGGATCCTGTTACCAGAATGCAATCACCGGCGAAATCGACGCTGTTTATATCGCTGGTATAAACTGTCAAAGTCTGCAAGGCTTGCACGTCGCCTATGGCAGTCATGTTTTTTCAGATTAACGGGGTTCTTAGCTGTAAAGACGTATGAAATATTAATCAGCTGTGTCACTTCTCAAAGTCAAGTTGATATTATCTATACTTTAATGAAAAGGCGCGTGTGTTACGTAATTTTTAATTTATCAACAAGAACAATTCGAATTATATGTTACCTCTTTTGTCGACATTAAACAACGACGGATGAATTAATATTACCGCAGGTGAAACTGTCTATTCGATTAGAAATGGAATTATATACGACAGACTTTCATGTCAGATACTGAATGTCAAAATATCGACGAGCCACGGTATCATATCGTTATATTTTAAGTCATTATCTCGATAGTATCAAATGATTATGATTTGTCATAGGTATCTTTAGAATTAATGTATTCCTTCGCTAAAGGTATATACATACTCTGTCTATAGTTGTCACATAGGAATGTCGTAAGGGTAACGAGGCACGAGAGACACCTTTAACCTTCGTTTTTCAAACACTCACGAACTGCATGTGCACGTGTTTCTCAATAATATATGTACCCTGAATCGACTAACTGTTCTACAGGTGGGCACACGTACAAAGGCAGCGAGTTTCTAAAAGTCAGACAGCCTTTGGCATTGACCACCGCGCGTCGTGGCAGAAGACATTTTATTCACCACATACATTAGTTTCATTATCGTAATTGATGACTCAAGGTTCAGAAACGTTATCTATATTTCTATGGAAATTAATCGCCAAATAATAATTAAATACCGCGCAATTTTGTTATTAAAATAGAATCTTTCGATCTTGAATCAAAACGGACTCGCCTAATTTTCAGGGCGCAAATGAGAAGTTCTGAGAGTTACATTAATAATTTTTTCAGTTATCTGTACATTTCTAGTTACAAAAATTGCAACGATAAAAAAATCGCGTTATATTAAATTGAAATTTGTAAAATGTATAGGTCATAGTAAAATATGAGAATAAGCTGTATTTCTAATAAAAATACTAAGCTATACTTTTATATTAAACCCCATGTATCGTAAATAATCCACCATATAAATGCTTTGATATCAGCTCATAAGTTTTTTTGGTGTTGCAATTTTAATGACCAGCAGTATACACATCGATCATTCTATTTTTTGCAATTCTTCAGAATTTACTACGATAATAAAATGGCAATTTCTTTCAACATATAATAAAAACAGAATTATTGTCGAACTTAGATAGTGAGTTTTATCGTTGAATGTTGACGTGTACATCAAAGTACACATCGATTGTACTTATCTGTTTCATCTATGAATAAAACAAACGCAAATATTACAGCCGCAATTTCTATTAATATATTAATATATTATAGATTAACTCTTAATGTATACTTAATGTTCCGATTTTTTTATAGGATGGATCGTTTGTGTTCTGCGTTAATTTTCACTTTTACAAGAATACAAAAATTATTAAGTGATTCTTACATATATTTTAATACCTTTAGAAAATATTTGTAACGTTGTGCATTAAAAATAAAGAAAGGGTAAAGACATTTTTAAACAATAGATGCTCTAATTTCCTGGTTCCGTAAAACGCATAATGCGTTTGATGTATTATTCTATCAATAAATGTTGTTATATATTCATATGATATATTATGATATGATATATTATGATCTTAAAAGATACTTGAGCGTTTGATATTATCATTTTAGCCTTATCGTTTAATATTCGGTTAACAACAAGGATAAAATAATCATGCGCATCATGTGTTTTACAGAACGCAGTTAATATTTCAAAAAAAAAAAAA